GGAAAACTAAGTTAGCCAAAATTAAGCAAGTCATCTGCTTAAAACAAAGTGCAAAGTAAGCTTCCAGAGATCTGGGACCTCTTGTTTCAAAGGTCCTTCAAGAATTCACACTAGTTAGCACACCACAAAATCTAAGGGCCAATTCAAAGGGTGATAAAATGAGCCTCTACCTCTTACATGACCACTGGCCTGATGCAGTTGAAAGATAATAAGTTGAGGCCAACCAGGACTTGAAAAAGCACACCATGTGCTCACTACTCATTCAACCTAGTAAAGAGCTAACAGAGAGCTACAAAGTGGCTATCAGGTATGACAAACAGCGATTTATATAGAGAGCAGAAAAGAAAAATCCTTTCTGAGGGAAATGGTCTGACTGAGAAGGCAGAGGCCCCGAGAAGTGTATACGTTGGGCTTGTACTATGTATATACAAACCTTTCTAAAATTATTTTTATCAGCACTGCTGGACAGCTACAATGCTCAGTCAGATCACTTCATTAGATTTAAACCTTTGTCCACAGACTTCTAACATCAGATATGAGATTTTGCAGCTAAACAAAAGCTAGTAATTTCTTGAAGTGCAAAAACCAGAACAGTGTCTTCTGACAGTTAACTTTCAATCGGTTACAAGACTATCAATAAAAGTCTATTTCTTATACATAATGCTAAAAAAATGAATTTATTATGCTTCCACACATAACACAACTGTAGAAGTACAGGGTTGAATGAGCAGTACTAAGTGGTACTAATTAAGATCCATGTTGTTTTATGCAACTCTTATTCTTCAGAAAGTACACTTAGTTTTTATTTTAGGAATAGTTTAGAAGTGCTAATACAGTATTATTGATGGGAATATATGTAGAATAAGCAACAATTTTTGTCCAGAAAGATCAAGACTCCACTGTATAAAGAAAACACTGTTAAGGAATGCAATGATATTTCCAGTTGGAATATTGAGAAGAGCCAATAAATAGTATTTGTGTTTGTGATATGGTTGTACCAACAAAGCTACACTGGATTCTTATTTGTGAGCTGCACCAAAATTGAGTGCGTGGTGAAGACAAAGGGGGGAGATAGTCAAGTTAAATAATACATCTAAGTGACAGCATCTTCAAATATGTGACAGAAATATTCTGCTATAAGTGACGTAGTGCTGGCAGGAAGGCTGGCCAAATAAAGTAAATAATGCGTTACAAAAAAAGTGGTTTATGTTAACTAACAATTTCAGGTTACCAGAAAAATCATTATTATATGTTTCATCTGAGTGCAAAGTTGACTTTAAAACTTTAAAGTTTTAAAGTTTAAAAAAACAGTACTGCAGAGATCCTGGTTTTGGCACTTACATTCCTCACACTGGCATACAATGTCCTGCTATAGCACAAAACAAAGCATGAATTCATAATTTCTGAGAAGTATCATTTACTGAATAACACTGAATAAAACTGGACAACTGCAAGATGAACATCAAAAGACATACATCATGTAATGATGGCATATGTATTTAACTGCGTAACTCCCACTCTTTGCAATCTCACTTCATTTGGTAAACTTTGGTAACAAATCGAAACAGTTCTTCTGGCCCAATCTCCATTTTCTCTGTGCTTTTATGAATCTTCCCTTCACATTAGCTCCCTTTAGATTCAAAACAAGGAGGAAGGTATCTAGTTCAAAATCTATCCTACCACTTGGTTCTTAGACAGTTTCTTACTTGTGAATCTTCCTCAAGACTGAAAATGATCGCATATGTCAACTATTCTACCAGCTGTTCGACGGAACCTGTCCTTCAAACCAACAGATCAGAGGATAGGCTGGTAAACATTATTCAATGCAGAACCTTTTATTTTAGACATCAAGATTTTTCAAACAAACCCTCAAATCTCTGATACAATGACAAGATAACAAGGTAGCATTGTTCAGTCCTACCAGGAGCTACCCTATACTGCAAATAAACCATTTCTTTTCAAATGTTTTCAGGTTGTTTTTCATTAGTGCTTTGACTTCTCTTTGTATCCCTCAGGAAATCAAATATTGTTAAGTTCATAGCTAATATCCACTGTGCTCAATAAAGCATGTGTAGTTCTGATGTTATATTAGGCTACAATTCATAAATACTGTCTGTAAGATTTTTTTAAATGAATAAAAATGACAAGTACTAATTAGTCTTAAGAACACAGTTTCTACTAAAATAAAAAATCATGAAGGAGAGCTGGAGGGAAAGAAGTGGGATTTCAAAGTAACGGTTCAAAGGATTTCAAGGATTTAAATCATAAGGTTATTGGCTAAAATTTTTTAAAGTATTTTGATTACTTTTACACTTTTAGAGGCCTGTTATTCAAAGCATAAAGCTCAGTGCCTCCTAAAAATGAAGCCTCTCCAAATTCTTTCTCTCCTCCACATACCCAGAAATGGGATAAAAAATAAAGTAGCTGCCTTAATCATATCACATATTGATTCCTAATGTTAAGGATGAATGGGAGACTGAGAAAAAATATATTTACCAAAAAAATCCAACAATACAAAAACATTCAAGAAATTGTGAATCTGTGAAATTACCATTTTCATTTCAGAAGTAGGCAAGATCTTCATGTACATCACTTACTTAAATGTATACCTGATACTTCAGCCTCAAGGTTCTTCTTTTGGTTATTTAACTAAGTGCCTTATAGTTTACAGATTTTTAATTTTTAATTTATAATTGATTGTTTGAAAGTTGAACGGTTCTGAAGATTTTCTAGATAAACCCGGCAGGCTGCACTTTCACCTGCGGCAGGCCCAAAGCAGGGTCTGCTCACCCAAGACGTACTCTAGTCCCGAAAAGCAAGCCCCACCGCTAGCACGGACCCACGTCCGAACCAACGCAACCCTTCCTCCCGACGCCCATCGCGTCACAACGACGTGTGCAGAGCCCGCGGCCCTTACGCCAGCGCGCCGACAGAGGGCGTGCGCAGAGCGAGGGAGGGAGGAGGCGCCACCGCCCGCCCTCCCAAATCCGCGCACCTCCCCACGGGGGACCTCCCACCCACAGCAGCCATTAACTGTGGGCGTCTGTATTTACGGCCTGCAGTACGTTCAGCGCGTGGTTAATCGCCATCTGTGCCATGTCAGCGTTGGCTTCTTACGTTTGGTACCTTTTTTCTTTGCGCATACCGGAATAGAGCACACAATACGACATTTGGGCTGCTTGTGGATTTTTATCCCCACGAAGCTGGCAAAATTTAATGGTCCCATGACTTCACTGGATATCATGTATAAAAATTAAATACACTGTTTATAACTAAGGTTCCTACCATCGAGCAGATTTGGTTCTCCATGAACGGTTAAATTAACTGAAACAATGCTATTAGAAAACAGAAAGAATAATTATATGCCCCCACAGTGAATGTATCAAGAATAGTTAAATTCTTGATCCTCTTTCTTAATTAGCTTTGGAACTGTATGATCTGCTAACTATGATAACTGATTAGCATGAAAAACTTAAAAAAAAAAACTATGTTTTGCTCATGAAACAGATTTAAATATTAGCACATAAAACAAAACTGCTGTTATTCCCCTATGTGTTTCAGAGAGACTATAATAGTGGAATTCCTTAAAAAAAGAGAGCATATATCAATTACTTTATAACGTATATGAACATTCTTTTTAATTGCAGCCACTGCTCCAGCCTTTCCATCCGCTTTCCTCCAGCTTTCTTTTGTTTAAATATTGCTGCTAATACCACCTTAAAGAAAGTCTAAACTCACATCTGAAAATGCTGTGAAAAAAATGGTTGAACATTAGGCTTGAAATTTAAATGAAGAAAATATTGCATCTATTTTTAAAAGGAGAGGAAAAATAAAAGCTGGTTCAAATGTTAGAAGTTTACAAAAGTTTAAAATTCAAGTGATTTTTAAGATGTACCTTTTGGAACTTTCAGTGGATCATCAAAATCCGTTAATTCAATAAAGGGACACCCAACATTGGCAGAGACCGTGTTAAGACTTTAAAAGAGCTGATCTAAAAATTCATTATGAATACCACTCATGACAAATCTAGACCCTCTTTTTGAATGAACTGTTCACAATTACTCTCTCCAAACACAACCTTGTATAGTACTTGCTGATTTTGTGGCTTTTATTATCCTGTTGCATGGTTGTCATTTAAGGTGGATCCTAGTCCTGTTAGACTAGACAAGCACGGTAAGCAGCATAACGGGAAACACTGGAGCTGTGAATTTCTCATAAAAATTCACGGAACTTTCAAAAATCACAAACATCTCATGCTGATATTTGTATAGATACAGAGTGCTATAATAAGTTACATAATTTTTCCAGATACAGCAAAGCTGAGCCAATACTTTGGGAATTGTTGTCATTTTACCAGATGTAATCTTAAGGATGCTTTCTTTGGTTAACTACTTCCATACTTAAAGGGCCCACAACAAGCTATCATACATCAACATATTACCCTATTAAATCAGTTAATATACTTTACTATACATGTTAGTAGCAAATATCCGTATTTATGTATAAATATTTTAAAATATTTTCACATATTATTTCCCATATACAAACACTTAGACCAGCTAGTCATGACTAAACAAAGGTAAATATAAAATTTGTAACTTTATTGACAATATACTTTTCTTTATGGTACATTATGCTAACTAATTAAATCTGTATTTTTAAAAAGTAATAATTCTAGTATTTGCACCATACAACTTCTTTGTTGAATTATTGCAAAGAAATCCTTGGGATATAGGGAAAACATGCTTTCTATCTGCATATTTTACCCTGGAACATTTTATCGCTTTTATTGACATAAAAACACAATATTTTTCACTAAGAATATATCTATGCAGAAAGATAACTGTAAGACGTAAGATCTCTCTATATAAACACATACATTTACATGTAATTATAAAAACCTCTCTGAGAAAGGTTTAGGAAGAAGTCTGCCTCAGTTTTAAATGTTACCTTTTATAGTGCAGTGCTGCAGGATTACTGTTGCAGATCATAAATAAATGGCAGTATCAGGGAATTTTAAACACATGTAGCAGAAAAAAAGGCATGAATATTATCCAGACAGACCTACTGATAAAAACACTAAAAAAAATTCAAGGCAGAATAAGACACTTAGTGGGAAAGCTAACAATCAATGTAAACTTCAGTGTTTCCTACCAAAGAAAAAAATCAAAAGAGACAGTATCAAACAAATAGAGTAAACCATTCCAGTCATTTGGTTTTGGTATTTACCTCAAAGACAAAAGGAATCCCTTTCGAAATTTAATTTGAAAGTAAATATGCCTAAAGTTAAACACACAATTTTTATTAATCTCAGAACAGAATCAAGACCACTATTAAAATAAAGCCTGGGGCACATTGTGATGCCTATGATTGGTGGGTGGATTTTAATTTCCTTTAAGACTGTCATAGTCCTATTATCATAAAACCTGTAACGCACTTCCAGCATGGAGGACCCATCTGTGCCCACCATCCATCTGTTCAGACGTGATTGGCAAAGTGGTAGGGAACTCGCAGTGGTTGCCTTTGCCTGAAAGGAATTAACCACAGGATCTTCCAACGAGTGCCAAAAACTTCTGAGAAGGTCTGCTGCCATGGCTTTCGGGGCCTCGATCTACAGAAGACAGCATTATTAGTGAAAGACAGCACGCCCATGGTGCACTTCAGTCAGCTAGAACAATGCAGGTTGGCTGGGGATCCATTACTGGACTCTGATGAATTGTGTCCCAGCATCACAAATACAGCTTTTCTTTCATTATGGCATGCAGCTGAGGCTTAACTTTGTAGAACAGAAACTATCTGTGTCGTCAATCAACTGAAGGCAACTTTTGAAGCAGAGGAGAACCTCAGAATCAATGAAATGTATGGCAAGACACAGCAGAAAGTGTCTTTTGATCTGTACTTTTGAAAGAAAATATAGTTTCACTGGCTTTGGAAGGAATCGGAACAATGTGAGGCTGCTTTGTGTACAACCAATATTAAAAGATTAGTGAGCTGCTGCTAAAGATAGGAAGTACAAGGCACAGTACCATGCAGAATAATCTTAACAGTGCCTTTGATTCCTTTTCGCTCTCACACAGTCAAAAAAAGCAGCTACTCCTTTAGCTTTTCAGCAAATAAATGTAAAAATTTTACAGCACTTACATGTTTTCACAACAGTTTGACATTTTTTCTATACTTGTAGTATCCTGTTGAAGAAAAGAAAACACAATGGAAAAGTATTTATTTACACTCCTAACTGTTAAAATGTCATTATCAAAGCAACTAAATAAAGCAGGGAATCAATTCTTAGCGTACACTGCTTTGGCATTAGTCCAGTAAGTTACATATTACTCATACGCCGTATTACTTTTAAACAGCTGTGAGATTATACATGCAAATTTACTCAGTCTGTTAAATGATTTTTACAAACGTGATGTGAAACTACACTGTGTAGTTTTACTACGATAGCACATACCACAGAACGTCAACAAAAACTTACAGCATTATTACAGCTAAAATTAATTTATATATTACATATAATTCATGGGACATGTAGAAGTAATGTGTGTAAGGTACACTCTTGCCAAACTTTTCACAACCACCCATTGCAGACTTGGAGTAGTCTACTGAGACATCCACAGGAAAATTTTTGTAAAAACCAGCCATTAACAGATGTAGTGTTTTGAAAAGCAGGAACTATTAAGAAGTTTTAAAATAGTTATCTTCATTAATATTATAATGCAAACAGCACCACTAAGAATATACCATCCATTTCCATAGTCTCTCCAGGTAAATACCAAATATAAAAATTATTCTTTTAAAATGTAACAAAAACTAAATAATGTGCAGAGTGAAGGCACTCCTACAGCTAACAGTAAATTAAATTCATACTTTACTTTTCTGAACATGATTAATTCAATGAGTCACAAAGTTTTATAATTAACAAATCAATTTAAGCTTAGATCACGCCCAAATAAAACTTTTAAAACTACCAACAACAGTACTTTTTTCTCACTTTCGCACTATATATTTAACAAAAAAAGCTTGCTTTGTAAGTGAGTATCACTTCAATTTTAACTCCAGCAGTATTAGTGTTTTCAATGCACATTCATAGTTCATTATGTCCCAAAATCACTTACAAGGTCCAAAATACAATAATTGAAATATTTCTCATGGTTCCATCTCCTTTTCTTGGCAGCTTGCTATTTCCCTTTACTATTCATTGATTTAGGCATGCACATAATGCACCTGTCAGATAACAGTAGCGTTTGAATGAAACAAGAGAGCTAGTCTCTATTGTCCCAGCCATACAGAGACACAAGGGCTGTGGTTTAATTAGGCTGCGACTTTATTGTCACCTGGAAACAGTACCTGGCAATAAAACCATACTGTGTTCTTTGATTGCTCCTGCCATCAGTGTATCCAATTCAGTGCAGGCACTGCTGGGCTTCTGCCACCATCTTTCATAAAGCTTTGAAGGGGAGGGGTGAAATGTGAGTGGGGAATAATGTACAGGAAGCTGCTTCCCTGCTTCACCAGACAGGGGTGGCCTCAACTCCCCTTGCCGAATTTTCTTCTTCTAAATCCGCTTCCCATCTCTGATGAGTTTTGAAACAGGATCCCTTACCACATGCTAAGTGGCAAAAATCTTAATGCTGCCCACGACCTACCCAGCTGAATTCCAGACGCACTATGGCAAAGGAGAGAAGTCCCCTCTTCTCACGCCAGCCCACTAGGATGCACAAGTTCTTCCCGGTTTGTGCAGAGAAGGCATGCCCACAGCCGACTACATAAACCATTCTGGCCCCATCACTAGGTGGATCTGAACAACTGCTCCGTAGTGAGAGAGGACAAGACGGGAGGCAGCAGACCATAAATACTGTCTGTTGTCTCAATTCCCATAGATAAACTGTTTCTCCTCTCCACCTTATGGGCCTGTCTAGTGTATTCCCCCTCACCTGCCACAGGTGGCAGGAAAGCATTACAAGACACAAGCCATTCTCCTTGTTAGGGCAGGACCTGACTGCACAGCCAAGGGACATTCTGTTTCCTTGGGCTGGCTTTTTGTCCAACTCTTGTCAGAACAAACACCACCTTTTCTGACCACAGAAAAGCATAGCTTTCTGAATAGAAAGGACTAAATAAACACAGATACTACTTCCATGACATTTCAGTGAGGTTGTAACAGCATTTTCATGAGATGCTGTAGCTCCTTCCATAACTGTAAAAACATCTCAGCTCTAGGAATTATCCTCTGGTCACATCAAAGCTGCCTATCTGACAGTACAAAATAACAGTGGTGTGTTTGAAAGCAATGATTGCTAATGATTTTTTGTACAACAGTGGCATGCTAGTCCAGACTATAATTGATTCCTAGCTATCAAAAGATTTATGCTATCATTTCACAAAAGGAGCCTTTAAGCAGCTTTGGGTGCAGAAGTAGCATAACAAAATAATACCTTAAACATGGCTTTTTGCTGTGTTTCTCCATATTGTTTATTCATTAATACATTTGTACTGCTCCCTAAAACACTGTATTTGACATTTTTGGAGGAATTCCCAGGTTGGGAACTGGGCGTTGTATTTCTTTTTAATTATCATGGCATGTTATCAAGACCTGAAAGATGCTCATCAGGATCTGCATCTCTCAAAAATGTAACCCATTAAATTAATGAACTAAGTGAAAGCACCAACAGGAACTGCAGAAAATGACTGTAAGAAAAGACTGTGAAGCTTCCACACCTTTAAAACATACTGAGGATTTTAGTTGGAGAGGAAGTCAAAGGAAATCCTCCCTTCCTTCCTTTCTTCCTTCTTCCATTAAAATACCAACATCTACTTTAGAATACTTTTGCTTTACAGTAAAGGAATTGGGACTGAGCGGTGAATCCTTTGCTTCTGGGATACTTTTTCAGAATTAAAAAAACTTTATAGCAACATTTTAAAAGCTGTGAACTAGGGCTGGAGGGAATGGGAGGAAACATCTCTCTCTGAAGTTCAGCTGCTTAACAAGTGCTGGTGACTGAACCTGAGAACCCAAATTCCCCTCACAGCTTCCCTCCCCCAACACTGCTGCCAAACAGCTGGGCCCATTTGAAATGTACTGTCATTTGAGAGTGAACCAATTTACCTTTTCACATGAAAGTGAAACTTCACAGCACCCCAGGAAACTCAGTAGCCCCTCTGGAGACAGGAGAGGAAGGAAAGGGAGAGGGCCACAGTTGAGTTTTGGTCTATTATTTAAGGCTTTCCTCTCAGACAGATTAATTTTTCTTCTTTTGGAGACAGGAGGACCAGAATAACCACTATTCTTCTGAATGACAAGGTGTTCTGTTCGTTAACACACCTCACGAATGGCTTTCAACCAGAATATCATCTGTCTTAATTACGCATTTGATGTATACCACGGTTTTGCTACAACATCAGTATTACTGTGTTCAGCCTAAGAGGCTTTGGCTGTCTGCATCTACTACCAGCTCAGATTACTATCAATACAAATAGAACTCTGCCAAGATTTTTTTTTTTCCCCAGACTCACAGCTAATGCTGATGTTAAAATCTGTTAGAGAATTGACACTCATCCAAGAGTTGAAAATAACTTGGGCAAACATGGCATATCTGTTGGGTCCTAGTAATCTCTATCTCCAAAAATCCCATAAAATTTACAGTTGCATACAAGACAAAATTGACTAACCCACAACTGATTAATTTCACATGATGGGTCATCTGGGCCCCCAAAGTAATCATCCAGATTGGAAACAACAATCGTTCCTGCACCTCGTTATTCAGAGATACATACCCACTGATAAGCATCTTAAAGCAACTAGGAAAAAAAATCATACCTTAGTGAGAAAGGCAAAAGAAATTAGAGGAAATAAACACAGCAATCATTAACAACATATCACTTTAAAAAAAAAGGAAAAGGGCAAAGGGTTCAGATTCTGCTGAGGGGATGAGGAATGTTTTTTAGCTTTGAGGACTTACTACAAATCTGCAAGAGCAGCTCGACTGCTCTAAGTAAAGTAAGCTACTGCCACAGCTAAGACTTATGAGAGGAATGGAGACACACATGTAAGTGCACCGACTGAATTCTGCAGACCAACTTAAGATTCATTTGCAAATGAATGCATGGACCTTAACTACTAAGAGGAATATATCTTTCACATCTATAATTTTTAATTAGTATAAACAACTGCCTGAAAAAACAGATTTTTTAAAAAGATCACATGCACTGTTTAACAAACTGTGCTATAAGATGGGATTCATCGTGAACTGATTTATCATGGAAGAAGCACATGGAAAGCATGTTTTCCTCTTACTGATTCATATTTTCCAAAGGAGAAGCTGTCATCTGTAACTCACAGGACTAACTCCAAAGCACGCAGCCACAATCTCTGGTTCAATTTTTCTTCCGTGTTTGCTTAAAGTGACATGTAATCAATACAGCTCTATTTAATATTTGCAACAGAAGAATGTAAGCATTAAGCTATGCTTTCTACAAAGCAGAAAGAGAAAAAAACAAACAAAACCTGCAAGCCTTCCTGGATTTGCAGCCATTGCTGTTATCCAAAAGTGCAAGACAACATATCCTCTACCAAACAACGCATTTTTTCATTCCTTCTACGTAACATCGTTTCATTGTGTGCATGTAAATGACAGGTGAGCAACTGAAGAATATAAAATATTGAACGTCTCATAGAAAGAATACTTCATATTTCAGAAATTTTTCTTTTTGGCACTAATTACATTTTGGACTTACATTTGGCCACTTCTTAGTATTGTTTTCTTAATCTAGACTTCTCACATAAGATAATATGATTGATTTTACCAATTACAGTTAAGTTCAGCCTGAAAATTACTAGTTCGGTTTTAACTTTAAATCCCTAAATCAGAGAATTGTGTGCAAAATGAAAAATGAAGCTACACTATGTTATATCTAGGGAATACTGCTACACTCCTCTATGCTCTGATGAATTTGGTTAAATAGATTTCCACTCTATTTGTCAGATATTAGAAAATTATTCAATGAAAAGGAAACATCTGATAACAAATTAGGAACACATCTACAAAGAAGATGATACAAATAGACCTCTTTTCTTCAGTCAAAGTCCATGGTGTGTTAGGTGCAGATAGCTGCATGATAGCAAGATACATGACAAAATGTATTATTTTTCTTGATACTTACCAATACCTTCTTAAGACAAAAA